CCACATGAATTCGATGGGAAGCACCGTGGGAAGCATATAGAGCACAATTTGAGCTACTGGCAGAGATGAATGGATGGACAGAGGAGCAGAAAGCTGTATATCTGGCAACGAGCTTGAAGGGACAACCACTGGAAATACTTGGAGAGTTGACAGCAGTTGACAGACACAACTATAGAGCACTGGTAGAGGCTCTGGAACTCGGGTACGGAACCCAGAAGCAGTCAGAAGTCTACATGGCTAGGTTTAGGACGAGAATCCGTGCTAAAGGGGAGAGCCTGCAAGAGCTGCCACAAGACTTGGAAAGCATGGCACACAAGGCCTACCCAACTGCACCACCCGATCTCCTCAAGTTGTTGCTGAGGGATCAGTTCGTAGATGCCTTGGACAGTCCACAACTTAAGATACAAGTGAAGCAAGCACACTCCTCTACCATGCAGGATGCAATGGCCAGAGCTCTCGAATTTGAATCCTACGCTAAGTCCAGCACAGAGGTACCGAGGTTGGTACAGTCATCTGGATTCAAGGCCAGAAAAGGTCAGATTTCAGAGAAGTTTGAGGGACTTTGCTGGCACTGTAACAAACCTAGTCACAAGAGAGCTCAATGCTGGAAACTTCAGCACAGGGGAGATGATACAGCAGGAAAGGCTGCTACCCAGAAAGGCTGTTGGAACTGTGGGGAGCAAGGACATCTGAGGAGCCAGTGTAAGACAAATACCACCAATAAGTCAGCTTCGGGAAACCAGTAGTGGTTGGTGCTAAGGGACGCCCACCAACCTCCATCGTAAAAGTCCCAACAGTTAGGTGTAAAATGGCAAGCACACATAGTATCTACGTGACAGGGAAGCTGGATGGCCAAAGGTGCAACTTTGTCATAGATTCTGCATCTCAGCAAACCCTTGTGAGCATCAAGGTGCTGGATAACAAAGGAGTACCAGAAGCTGTACAGAAGCTCTGTGGTGTGACAGGACATTCTGCAAGGTTGTGGGGACCAGTGTGGGTAACTATCGAGCTCTAGGACATGAAAAACAGACAGGAAGTATACTTGGCTGACATTGAAGACGAATGCATATTAGGATTGGACTATCTACTACCGAGGAAGTGTATAGTTAACTTCGATAAAATGACGATTGGAAACAACAAAGGCCAGACTCCAGTAAGTGTTGCTACA